TTTTTTTTTTTTTTTTTTCATTTTATTTTTTAATTAAAGCGTCGTCGTTGTCGACGACACGTGTATATCGTGTATGACGTTGATTGACACAGTAACTGCGTGGGAAGTTCGTTTCGTGGTACGGTTGGGTGTTCGATGAGTCTCTGTTTCCATTTTTCTTTTATTCTTTTTCATTTTTGTTTTTTTCTTTTTTTTTTTATTTTAAACGCAAAAGTGATCGTACAGAAAGAATTTGTTTTTCTAGTAGTGTGTGACGTATCGTTCTATATTTTTTGGTAGTTAGCAAACGAGAATGATTCGTTTTAGACACGTGTGATATTTGTTGTACGTCTCGTGATGACTATATGAATATCCCTCGAGTAATTGACACGTCTACTTTTCGCTTTAAATTTTTTTTTCTATATATCCTTTTTTTTTCATTTTTTTTGTTTTTTTTTTTTTAAATTGTCTTTTTCCTCGTTTGATACCGAAGTAATCGAAATGTTTTCTCATTACAGTTTGCCGTTTCACACAGTCGTAGTCCGTTTACTCCTCCGAATCATTCGTTTCACTGTCGGGTCACGATTAGATTCTAACGTTGAAAAGAAAACGTATGTCCCATGGCCACTCATCTTCATTCTATCTCGTCTATGGTAGCTAAGAAAAAGAGCTCCGTACAATTTAAGCTGCAGCATATACATACATATATATATCTCTCTCTATATATACGTTTACTCTTTTTACCGTCCTCTCCGGTACTTTATTTATTTATCGTTTAGCCGAGCGTTGCGCCGATAACGTAGGTGAACGTGCTTTATAGCCGCTTCTATCCCGGGAGTTCCAATTGCTTTCAGTACATTTATCGCTTGAAGCTTTTTCACAGAGACTCGCTTCTTTACGCAGGGGCATTATTCACGCATACACGCATACATAGATATTTATATATACGACACTTCGACCCAATTTTTGCGATCTTTCCACTCGCGGCACTCACTCTAGGAATCTTCCTTCACGTTCAGAGAGGGACACGAATCTTATTTATCTCTTTCATCCCCCCGAATAAATTATACAGATCCTTTTAACGTTCTCGCGATTTTCATCGCACATCCCCCATTCCATTCATACGTCTTCCCGAACGAGGAAGGAGAAAAGCCGAGAAGAAGGCTGAAATAAATTTTAAGAAAATGAAAAGAAAAGAAAAAGATAGATACCACCGACGGTGAACCGGTGTGTCATTGTACATTTTGTAAAGAAACATTTCGTATGTGGCCTGTGTGTGGTGCAGGGTCTGTTTTGCGAGGTGGTGCACCTCCGTTCCCTCACGCGGTAGCAGTGTTACCTCCGCTTCCTGCCAACCACAACCAGAATCACAACCACAATCATCATCACCACCACCACCACCATCACCACCAACATTATTACGATCATCACCATCACCAACCCCAAAATCCTCAAGGTGAGTCCGCGATTGTCATGCCTGTGTCTTGAGTTTCTCTCCTGCAACTAGGCTGAGCTCTTTCTCATAGATCTGTTGGCTATATACGACCGCGTTGCTTCCGGATATCCGTAGATTCGTGCATGACGTAGATAACGCTAGTGTCTCTGGTGTTGGGCTCCGTAGAAGGATCGCAGCGAATTAATTAGAATAGACGTAAAACTCTACTAATCTTTTGGAACACTAGAGAGAAAGGGATTGGTAGTAAATATGGAGGTCTGTACCGACCGGAAGCAACGTGTTGGGCTTGAAGGCATTCATTGATACGTTCAGCAAATGCATCGGCTTAATCTGTATTAATCGCTTGCTCGAAGGGTTGGCGCGTGCACGCTAACAATCACGTGAGTATCGTTGCCTGCTCTACACGTGTGTGCAGGTCATGCGTGCGTATATAGAAAAGTGTGCGTTGGCATCGACCGTGTGTGACCGTGTTTTCACTATGTCGCGTTTTCTCAGGATTAACGGAGAACCGAGGCTTCCTTTCAGGGTACATATATTAACTGGTTTTCTGCGCTTTCCTCTTCTTGGGTTGATCTAGCGGTGAATAACGAGTGTGATGTACAGTTTCCTCCTCGTAAACCTGGTTCATCTCTTTCGTGTCTGCGTTCCGAACGAGTACGACGAGTCCCGTTATGTCGTCGTGTCTCTTCCTCTCTTTTTCTCTCTTTGCCAAAGATAGAGGAAGTGATATCGCCCATAATTTTTGGAAGGAAATATTTTATTTACTTGGTATTGCGAAATTCCAACAATTTGGTACAAGTGTAAGTGGTATGCAAAGATTCTCTAGTAAAAAGAGTATAATAGAAGAAGTTTCTATTAAAGTAGTCATTAGATCGTACTATTTTGATAACCGCGAACGACGAGTTAGCATATCATCTGGACCACCGATGTTTTGGACATAATTTATTTTGCTAGATAACACATCCTTTGCCTTCTAACGCTTCGTCACATTTATATTAGTTTATCTTAATATTGGCTTCAATTAAAATCGACTTAACTGAGATTAATTCCTCGAAATTGTCACGTGACTGTAGGAACTTTTAACTAATTGTACAATTAACAGATTAATTACTATTAATAAGTTCGTATCTATAGATAACTGAATATTCCAAAAATTATGCTGATAATTCCACCGACACGAATTTTACTCATCTATGTATACCCATTTCCAAAAATCTATAATACAGGACAAAATTATTCTCATCCACCATCGGCACCGTAAAACCAACTTTCCCTCCACCAACTTCGAAGATCTGTCGTAAATAACGAAAGGAGAAATTTCCCGGATATTTTTCCGGATTATCGACAACCCAACTCAGAACCCAAAGATCAAAAACGTCCAGAAAAAAGCGAATCCAAATCCAACCAACACAGCTTATACCCAGAGGCTATTACAGCGTCTGCCACGAACCACCATTTCTCTGCACGTTCTTCGACATTTCCAATCCTCGTGCTCGTTCAGAGTCGCAAATGGCGATGAATTACATGGCGAAGGATAAGGGGTGAGCGGTTGTTGAGGAGCAGGAGTGCTGGGTGTGAGAGATCGAGAGAAAGAGAGTCGAGGGTTTTCAGGTACTACGGGATTAGGAGTAGGCGTGGGCCTCGGAGTACCGGCGGCTCTTCCTCCCCCAGGAGCTGGAACGACGATTATGACGACGATGACGACGATGACTACCATGACGTCGATGACGACGATGCGCCCCGGAGTCGGTACCGCGCAGTGTCGTCAGCCACCCGCGTACAAAGTTGCAGCGCAGATGGC